ACTCTGGGGTCCGATGCGCCAAAAAAGTCTGCTATACTCAACTTCTAAAAAGCTCTTTTGCACTAAATAGAATTTTGATATTTTTTGATATTCTTCCATCGGATCCGTCAATAGTGCCGAAACCCGGAGTCCAACTGGATTTCCTCGGTTAGTAGGATGTTTTAGGATCCGATAGAATCCGTCGTCGGATTAATCGACCTGGGATATTCATAATGTATGTACCGTGTGTGCCGATCAGCGTAATTACGTAAAGTAGTTCCACCGTGCACAATAATGACCAATTTCATTTCAGGTATTACATGGTGAGAACCTGCGTAGTTATCCCAACTGCCACTATAGACAACTTTCACAGAACTAAGGGGTGATTCAAAAGTTTGACTCTACGTCAGTAAACCGACAATTTCAAAGTCAAATCTTTATCTAGTTATTTGATCGAAGTATATAATTATGCAGAGAAAAATTTTTAAAAAAAATTTTCAATATATGATTTAAATCAATTATAAGTTTATAAGACTAAAGTTATCAAATTTATTCATGAATATCAATAATTGAATATGGTGACGCGTTGGCTTTGTTTTTGAAGGACTGATTTTAGTCTTTTTGAAATGCTATAAATCATTTCCTCATATTCTCCTTGACTAAAGTTTTTTCATACATTAATAAGTTTATGACATCATGCAATGAATTGAATTCATGTTTACTTAAATCTTGTTGAATGGTATTCCACACGGTTTCTACGTACTATATATCATCCATCTTGACGGCTTGATCATTAATATCGATTCTTTCAGGTATATTTTCTTCTACAAATTAATTGTATAGCACTTGATGTGCGAAGAATACGAGATGAATCGTTTGAAAAATATTATCATAGTCTGGAAACAATTGTTTCATTGCACGCACAATAACTATTTCTAATGTCTTAGCACATTTTCCCTACTCATAGTGGTAATTCTGGAATTAAAAATTAGCTGCTTATTCCATTCCATTCTATAACATAAATATTTTTTAGAGTTCTTCTTCCAATACATATGATAATTTATGGTGTATTAAATTTTAATTATCACCATAAATAATATTGTTTTTCCTATTCTACTTTTGTTTGGGATCCTATCTTATTCCAAAAATCTATAATTATCATTTTGTTCTATTTGTAATATTTAGATCTTCGTGTTTTGGCTTATTTTCTTCATCAAATTTTTGCATTGGCCACTCTTCTTTTAGCACTCGTTTCAGTAATTATGGATATATCCACTTTTTGTTAAGATGTTAACTTTATATCGTATTTGAAAATTCTTTGAACTGAATTTTGATGATTAAGATTGTCTTCAAGATTTGTTTCTAATATTTATTATGCTTTTTGTGCTTCTGGAGCGTTCCTAATATGGGCAGATCTTGAATTTAACCAACTGTAGATATTCTTTTAACAAATGAAGCTAATTCATTTAGACTGATGTCATTTGGTTCATAATAATTCCATAATTCTGAAGTCATTTTATTTGCGAATCAACCGTAAGTATTACGCAACAACAACAATTTTCCACTTCAAGTACATTTGGTGGTCTTTTAACATTGGTATCATATACATCTGTTTTTAGTTTATCGATTTAATATTTACTGTGACTATACAGATTACATGCACCTATTTTCATATTATTGTTTATTAACTTTACTGAAACTGATGCATTTATTCTTTTTGGGTGTGGGTATCGGTATAGATATGTTTGCGGGGGACAGTGGTAGTGCGCGCCGAATCAACATGGTCAACCAAACACAAGCCAACGTTGGAACTGGTAATGGTAAACGGACCGATCCAGAACATTTTCGCGTTTTTTGCATTTGCTTTACTAAAACAGCCATTCGTAAAAGTCTGTTTTTTATATGTGACCATTTTTACTGATATCTATAACTATTTCTATACAGGGTCATTGATCGAACATTTTCGGAATCGCTGTTTGCCATTATATCTATGGCATATTTATTTTTCTTTTCTATTATTTTTACGTTATCGTTTACAGATAGATGAAAAAGTAACCCTGTTGAGAGATATAAGGTAAGTCTGCAGAACTAATACAGAATTTCTAGTACTGTGATATTTAACATGCATATTTAGGTGTGAAAAGTGAAAGAAACTACAGAAACAGACAATGAAGAACAAGATTTTTGCGCAATCTCTACGGGATAAAAAATGAAACAAGATGCACCTACTCTGGCTATTTTGAGAGACAAAAAAGAAAAAATAGAAACTTTCGTAATTCATTCTTCTCCAAAAGTATGTCAAAACTAACTGAAGAGCCTCTGGACTTTTTCAATTCTACTATAAACGTGCCACGAATATACTACATAGTTCGATACCAGTTGTTGTTTGTGAATCCAAGTATCAATGGGAGTTGATGAAGTATTTGGGTTTTTGTTAGCGTCAGTAGATGGCACTCACTGACGCTAAACGTTTATTCGTGTTATCTGTTGTTATGATCTCTATTTTGATTTGTTACGTCATATTTTCGCCTATGACTAATCCTCGTGATTGATTTTCGTTCGCTATTGCGCAGTTGTTGATGTTCTATCGTATCGAATACTCGATACTTAATATATTCTATATATGATACGACGACAAAATCTATTATTGTTAATTGGGTCGCTATAGGTGACTTGAACAACGACGGTCGACTGGATCTTGCTGTAGCAAACTATCTCGGCAACAATGTAGGTATACTTCTTGGATATGGTAACGGAAGTTTTGCACAGCAAACAACATATTCAACTGGCGATGGTTTCGATACATGGATGATTACTATCGGTGATTTGAACAACGACAATATGCCGGATATTCTTGTTACCAATTACGGCGCTGACAGTGTAGGCATCTTTTTCGGGTATGGTGATGGAAGTTTTACTAGCCAGATGATATTTCCAACTGGAATTGGTTCTAAACCGATTGCGGCCGCCATTTGGGATTTCAACAGCGACAATCGATCTGATATTGTGGTAGTCAATTATAATTCCGACAATGTCATTCTACTCCTTCGGGATAGTAGTCAACCTTTTCTAACCATGACGACGTTTTTGACCGGAAAAAATTCTAATCTACAATATATGGCTATTGCAGACGTCAACAAAGATAATTTCCTGGATATTATCGTCGCCAACAATGGCAATGATAATATAGGTATATTGCTTGGATATGGTAATGGGAGTCTGATGAAGCAAATTACATACGCAACTGGAAATGGATCCAGCCCTAGCTCAGTTGCCGTTGGTGATTTCAACAATGACAGCCTGGCAGATATTGCTGTTGCCAATACTGGTGCAAATAATGTCGGTATTCTTCTTGGATATGGGAATGGAACATTTTCTGCTATAACATCATATTCAACTGGAAACGTTTCTAACCCGTACTCAGTCTCTGTGGCTGACTTCAATAACGATAAGTGTCTTGACATGGCTGTCTCTAATTTGGGCTCTAAAAGTGTACAGGTATTATATGGATATTGCAATGGAACGTTTGGAGACTCGAAGTCTTATTCATTGGGTTACACTTCTATTTCATATTCGGTGACTGTTGGTGATTTCAACAGAGACACTTGGCTCGATATTGCAGCTGCAAACTATGGCACTGATAGTGTAGAGATTTTTCTGCAGGCATGCAATACTAAGTTATAATGAATCATTTTTCCCGTTATGTTCAAAGGCTCAAACCTCCACGCACATATACATTCATACTATCAATATAGCAGCTTTATCTTTTCTATTAACATTTAATGCTATCTGCCTCTTACACTGTCAGTTCACCCCTATTTCTTTTTTCATTTTTTCTTCTTCTCTTGTTTACTTTCATTTTCATTTTATCACTCTATACATCATATTCTGTTTAGAAAGTGTAGCCTCTTATGATTCTATCGGGTTTTCTTCCGTATGTTTAATAGTTCATTGGCTTAATAATCAAACAGCTGTAAATTCTTACGACAAATTTTGTTAGCACTTCCAAATATAACACTAAAGAACGAAATAGAATAGAAATCCTATAAATTCATAAGCAACGAGTACTATTCAAGATGGTTGCTACCAACATATGTATATTATATTGTAATTAGACACTAGTGACCATATTTACACAACATACGAAACGCGTTTTCAAATAATATGCAACTCTTTTAAATCGAATCTTTAGTTTTTCGAAAAATACAAGACTAGGAAAAACCTTTAGAACATAGAAAATAGACATAGTTTCACTACGAAGTTGGTGCTTCATTATATTCTTGATACGAACCTGCGTGTACAAAGTCTTGGTACAAATTAGTTTAATGAATTTCTGGCACTGGAGTATGGTTTCTTCGCTTTTTTGTTCATCAACTTGTACTCTGAAAAAAATAAAGGAGGTTTACAGAACCCTCCGAAAAGGTTCTGCAGATTTTCAAAATGCTCCAAATGTGTTCAAAGTCTCAAAAAAAGGATAAAAATTTTGACAGAACCTTTTGAAGGTTCTGCGTTTTACCCAAGTGCAGAACCATCTCTTACAGAACCTTTTTTTCGGTTCTGTACAGCAAAAAAGGTTCTGTGAGAAAATACGAAACCTTGAAGGTTCTGTACGAAACCATTAACCGTTGGTGTGTAACCTTAATGATTCCGTACTGAACCCAATCGTTTCGTACAGAACCTTCAAGGTTTCGTATTGTCTCACGGAACCTTTTTTTGCTGTACAGAACCGAAAAAAGGTTCTGTAAGAGATGGTTCTGCACTTGGGTAAAACGCAGAACCTTCAAAAGGTTCTGTCAAAATTTTTATCCTTTTTTTGAGACTTTGAACACATTTGGAGCATTTTGAAAATCTGCAGAACCTTTTCGGAGGGTTCTGTAAACCTCCTTTATTTTTTTCAGAGTAGATCATTAGCGAAGCTTTAAGATAATATATAATACGTTTTATCCTCGTTTTATTTTGTAGAGATGGCACGTTCAGAGCGAGAACATCTACAAAAGTAGATTGTACAACACTACATAACTGTAGCGAGCAAACATAAAAAGATTACTGTAAACCATTTTTTACAAGAGAAAATTCTTCGTCAAAGTATATATAATATTATCAGGAAGTATGAAGATTGTGACCACGTTGCAGACAAATCTAGACTTGATCGTCCAAAGAAGCTATCAAGTAGACAATTAACACGACTGAAACGCTTAGTGAATCACAAGACTAGTATTTCTTTACGTCGAATAGCTCCAAAATTTAAAATCAGTTTTAAAACAGTTGGCAATAGTGACCTGCGTGACCACGATTTTTAGTCACAGTCACGTCACGGTCACGGTCACGATTATAGCCATGATAAATATATGGGTTCTGATTCTGAAACAGTGCCAGTACTTGGTATTGAAAAGAGGCTTGTTGAGTAACGACATCTACCTACGGCTACCGCAATTGTGGACTTTTTCCAGAATGATATTGATTTGGGAAAATGAAAATCCAATGAATTTTATTATAGTGATGTGCAATACAAATCAATAGGTTAAACTACTGATCTGTGGTCTGGTGTAACGGATTGGTGTCGTATCATACATTTGTTTCTGGGCTACATTTACTACATACACACGCACTACGAATTAAGATTCTAATTTATTTCCAACTAAAAAACCTCAACTAAGAAATATGCAAAAGGATTTTGGGTTTAATGATAAAAACATAATATAGATGTCACTAATTTTTTATGATTCACTGAGAAGGCTTAGCATGGTAGCGATACATGTAATGAGTACTGTTTATGCAGGTAATCATTGTGCTTTATTATCTTTAGATGAATCTCTATATTTAAGAAGTCTTCTAATCTAGTAGCTCATGGTGGTGCTGTAGTTGGCTTTTTACCAGCCAACCTTCCTTCCTTTTTAATTTATACATAATTAAAAAAATATTCATAATCAATAACATTTTTTTTGTTTCATTTGAAACCCGATCTAATTTTTTTGTATTTATCTCTTGTTTCACAACGTTATAATTTGACGCAAAGTTATAGAAACGAACTTGGTGTTCAATCTAAAAAAATTGTAGATTACAACATCTTTTCAGTGAACACATCTCTTGTTGATGTTGGTAAACTGTTTTATTCGATGAGAGAATAATCAAAATTTAATTGTTTGAAAAGTTATAGTATAAAAATTAAATCGAAGATTATCCGTAGAGATTTATATTAAACTCGCGAAAAAATTCAACGATGTGAAAAAGAATGAAACTGTCATACACATTGATATTCTTTCTGATAGTTTATCCTTCTTCAAGACACGTTGCGATTGGCGTAACCTCAACCATGATGACTCTTTTATACAAAAATAAATAAAAACCCAATATGTGTATTTTTTCTCATCATAAAATTGAAAATGCGTTATATTTAAGTCAGGTTTTATACGCAGAATGCGTGTGTATAATATAATGCATAAGTGTGTTGCATTGCCTAAGTTTTAGAAACGAACGCTTATTCACTGTTCACTAGTCCACGGATCATACTATTAATAATAATATTCTGCCGATCGAGTGGACAATCGATTGTTTTTGTACTTTTATAAACCATGGTTTCGAAATTATTAACACGTACTCAACTCGAACAACTTTTCAAGAAAAACAATACCTCGATCGCATTAAAAAAAGGTCAAACAAACCGATCATGGTTCATCATTTTGGCCACGATTTAGTCTCGTGTTCGTGAACGATGTAGGTCAAAATTTCGTAATATGCGACAAATGTCGAACAATTGTTACCTATAAAAGTTCAACTGGTACTGGTGGTTTAAAGAAACATTTAGCATCATGTGACAAAATTACATTATCAAATACTACACAATCAATTATAACAACATATTATACTGCTAGCAAACCATCAATTATACCAGAAAAAATTAAAAAAGAAGTAACTAATGCTTATCTTGAATTTATTGCATTGGATGGTCGGCCATTTGAAATTGTATCCCGAATAGGCTTTAAGAATATGCTTGAAACAATTTTCAAGGCAGGAAAAATAACAGCTAATTCACAATCAACTGAAATTTCAGATTTGTTACCACATCCAACAACAGTAAGTACACCTTCACAACTCAAAAACGATATAATTTTCTTCTTTTATCGTCGTAGGTTAGTCGTAAAGTTGATCAAGTTTATAGTTTTTGAAAAAAACAACTTACCGAATGGTGTAAAACAATTAATAGCTATGCAGTGGTTATTGACATGTGGACCGAAAAATACAGTGGTAAGTTTCTTTGATTCTCTGAAGCTATATCGTTTTTCCAATCGGATTTAGGTATTCATTATTGCGGTGCTACTGTACGTGAAATTGATGAAAATTTTTATTTACATTCATTTTCTCTGGGTTGTAAACCGTATACACTAGCTAATCAAACAGCTCCAAATATTCGAAAATTTATAGATGATTTGTTACATGATTATGGTCTTTCATTAAATACAAATTCATTTATCGTCACCGACAACGAGCCAAAGATGCTTGCAGCTTTACGTGGTGCTAATCGAGTTGGATGTAGCGACCATTACATTAATAAAGCGTTAGAACATGCATTTACATCTCCGAAAAGTAATTGTGTTGAAGTTATTCAAGTTTTTGATATTGTAGGATCACTTGTTGAAAATTTTCGTCGATGTCATCGACAGATTAAACTGTCAAGAAAACTCCAAACTTTTAGTGTGACTAGGTTTAGTGGCGCATATTATATGCTAGTGAGTTTTATTTAACTAAAATATATAATTTTTTACTACTATACTATGATTTATTCTAGAATGTATTCAATATCACATATAATGAGCGTGTTGATGCTTTTAGTGGTTCACATTATAATGGTTTTGAATCTCTTGATAAAGACTTATTGTATCAACTTTGTGAATTTATTCGATCATTTGATGAAGTTATCACCACGCTAAGTGAGGAAACTCAACCTACACTTCACAAGGTTATCCCTCTTCGGTGTCTTTTGATTAATCACTGTACACAAAAACCAGATGACATTTCTGGTATGATGAAAATAAAACTATTTTTACGTAAGTGAAATATTTATCGGTAAAAATAATAGAAATTTTTTTATTTATTCATAATCAATCAATTTCCATATATTATATGCAACTTAAATAAGTGTTTAAAAAAAATGATCGATACGAATTGAATCTTTGAAAAATAGAAATTTTATCAAATGTATTGAAATCTAAATTGAATTTTGCTGAAATAATTCAGGGAAATATCATATAATATAAATTCAACTGAACAGTTTTACGAAGTCGATGTAACTAAAAATATCTGAATAAATCGAACTAAGGAGCAATTCTATAAAAATCTTACAGACTTTTCTCGAAAAGATTTAATCATTAATATTTTTTGGAAGTTGACTACCGTTTCATTCTGACATAAGTTATAAATTATAACTTATAATACATTTCGTGTTATATTTATTTTTCAAATTATTTTCATTATTTAGAAGAGAGAATTATGGACAAGTGGCCGATCCAATCGGAACATTTATTAGCTACATTACTTCATCCTCGTCTTCGTGATTTTTCTGGTGATCAAGCATTGAAAGATCGGGCAATCGAATTGCTTCAATCAAGTATTTCATCATCTGCTGATTCTTCCAGTAACAATACATCGTCTTGTAATTCGTCGTTATCATCAAGTGTTGATAATTCCATAACACCTAAAAAAACTAATATTCTCTCGTTATGCTATGACAAACCACGAGCTACTAAACCAGCACTTGATGAAATCCTGTTGTGGCTGCAAAGTGATTTTAGTAAAGATTTTATAAATGATGACTTACTTTTGTTTTGGAGAAGAGAAAAAGATGATTTTCCAAGTATTGCCAAAATTGCTCGTAAGGTGCTGGCTATTCCTGCAGCCAACACCTCTGTGGAAAGATTATTTTCTTCGACCAAAATTACGATTGGTGATCGAAGAACAAGATTAGGAGCTGCAAAAATTGACAAGCTTATGTTTCTGCAAAAGAATTTAATCCCACTTAAGGATATGTTTGATTCAAAAAACGTTTTAACAACAAACGAATTAACAAGAAAACCTGATAATATACATGAACAAGATGATGATAGCGATCATTATGCTTCAAAAAAACTCAAAGTTATTGAAATAGATGAATGTATGTTTTCAAGTGATGATTGTGAAAATGATGATTATGAAAGTGAAAAAGGGAACTAGTAAGCATCAGAATAATGATAAAGTTTTGATTTATACTAATGATTCATTAGTAATGAATCTAGTTGTCTTTTTATTAATGATTTTCTTTTTGTTCTTGTTTTTAATTAAGATTTAATACTATATGTGAACATAATAAAAAGCTTCGATTTTTTTATTTTTCAATTAAATTATGAACAAGATTCTCTTTTTCATTTTTTCATTGTTTTCATTTTTTGCTAAAATATTGTCGGTCACGGTCACGCATGACCGTGACTGTGACCACTTTGCAGGTCTCTAGTTGACAACCAATTGAGAGCTATGGGTATACGCTATTACAAAAAAAAACGAGCACTAAAATATACTGAAAAACAACTTCAAGAAATTCTAATTCGTGCTCGTCATTTTTATCGTGAATTGTTAAAACATGATTATGAACTGGTAATGGATGATGAAAAATATTTTTTATTACACAATGAATTTGTACCTGCCAATCGTGATTTCTATTCATCGGATAGACAAACTACAGTTCCAGATGCTAAATTTAAAAGAATCAAGAAGTTTGAACCTAGATTATTTGTTTGTGTTGCAGTGTCTGAAAATGGCATTTCCAAACCATTCTTCTCAAAAAAAAGCAGGCTGTCACTCAAAAAACGTATTTAAATAATTGCATTAAGACACGTTTAATGCCATTCATTGAGAGCTATCACACCAAGGAAAATGTGTTATTCTGACCCGATTTGGCTTCAAGTCATTATGGACATGATGTCATATGGTGTTTGAATGATAATAAAGTAAAATTCGTACCGATCGAATACAATCCTCAAAACTGTCCACAATCATGTCCAATAGAAACTTTATGGTCAATCATCGATGACATGGTACACGACAATGGCTGGGAAGCAAAATCCATTGATCAATTGAAAAGAAGAATTATTGCAAAATTGAAAGAAATCGATCTGAAACTAGTACAAACTATGCTTTCAGGTATACGAACACAACTTCAAAAAATTGCTGATAAAGGACCTTACGAAGCTTGTTATTTTTTATTGTTGCAACTTTAGCACATGTACTTTTGTTTGTTATAGGAAAAAGGAAATAAAAGACTAAAAACATTTTTGTACCAAGGCTTCTTATACGTAGGTTATTTTTGAGGAAGAGTATAGTAAAAGTATATGGTCTACAGTCAGTTGCTATTGCATAGAGATGACCAGAGCTTGGTGTGTGCATTGTCGATTGTGCGATGACAAATACAAATTGTATGTGTGCCGATATTGATGGCACGCTTCGATGATTCTCCTTCCTCTTCCTTCTATTCTCTTTCCATTATTATAATATATCTCTCTCCTGTCTCTCTTCTATCTCTCTCCTATATATACGTGTGTTATGTATGAAGT